TAAAAAAAAAAAAAAAAAAAAAAAAAAAAAATTATAAAAATAAATATGGTCATGTAAAATAAAATAATTATTTCTCACTTTATATTTTTAAGAATAAAAATAAATACAAATATTACATTAAACAAAAACATCATCAGCTAGTTTTTTAAGGGCATTTGCTAAGGTAGATGACATTATATGATTTGCTTCCAAAAGTTTTAGTTCATCATTACTTTTATTATTAAATATTTTATATAAATTACCTTCATTGAAATGTTTATCATGATTAAAATTATCTTTGTAAAAATTTGAATTTTCTAAAGAATCCTTATAAAAATCATTGTTATTTTTGAATTGCTTATTTTCTTCGTTTTTTTGTATCAATTTTGCTTTTGAAAGTTGCATGGATTTTTCTTTTCGTGAAATATGATTATTATTATTATTACTGGAAATGGTATTCCTATGAAGATTTACCTCTTTATTGCTTATATTTTCTTTTTTAGAAAATTCAATTTCCTTTTTATCACTTAATGTATCTATTAATATTCTATTTTCTGAATCTTTTTTTTTTTCATATTTTTCTTCTTTTTTTTCATCTTCATCTTTTTTTTCTTTATTACTTTCATTTACACAATATTTTGTATTTCTGTTTACATTCCATTCTTCTCCTTGTTCATTATTTGTGTTCATATAATAAGTCATAACTTTTTCTGGAAGTGAATATAAAGGTTTCATATTATTTATAATGTCTTTATTACTATTTTGAGTTCTATATTTATATGATTTATCGATGTTTTTATCAAAATTAATTTTTAAATGAATATTTTTTATTAAATTAGTAGCTGATGGTAACTGTAAAATAGGAGGTTCAACTTTTGGATTTTCTGGGTTTATTAAAGGAGCCTTTAAGATACTAATATCTCCAATTCCATCTATAGCTCCTAATGTAAAAGCTCTTTTTTTTTTTTTTGAAATTTGATTTTCATAAATTCTTATATCTGTATTTTTATCATAAATAGATTTTTCTTCTTTTATTTTTTTATCAAATTTATTTCCTAATGTTTTGTCTAAATAATCTATCTTTTCATCAAATTTATTTTTTAAGTTTTCATTAACATAATTCTTTTTATTATCATTTATGTTTTTAAAATTATTTTCATCTGAAATATTCATTTTGTTATCAATAATTTTTTCCATATTTCGTCTTGTTCTTTTATTAATTTAATTTTTTTTTTTGTAGATTCTTTACTTTTATATATTTATATAATTGTTTAAATATATATGTATATTTTTTTTAAATAATAGAATTTTTCCTTATTTTATAATTTTGTTCCATTTTTCATAATATTTCACTATGTGTGCATAATTTATTTCGCAATATCTTTTGAATAATTTATTTTTTTTTTTATATATATTATAAATTGATAATTATTCCTTTATTTCATATTTATTCTTTAATTATTAAAAAAAAAAAAAAATACACAAAATATATTATGTCTGTATTATCATTTTATTTTTCAGTTATAGAAAAAACAAAAAAAATTTACTAATACTTGGATTTTAAACATTAGGATTCATTTCTTTTTCAAAGGTTTTTTTTTAAAAAAAAAAAAAATTTATACACATAAATGAATCTTAAAATATAAACAATTTAAAAATAGGTACATTATGCTTTTTAATTCAAAAAGAAAACATGTGATTTTCTTATGTAACAATTATTATTTATATTACTTTTTACTAGATTTACTAACTCTTTTATTGCATGTTTGCACTATACTAAAATTATTTCACCAAAATATATTCAAATTGACATTTACTTCTCGATGATATATTTTAAATAATAGTTTTATATTATTACATTTTTTTATATTATCACGTGAATAATTAAATAAAGGAATGATTATAAAAAAAAAAAATATACATATATATATATTTTCTTAAGAAGAAAAAAAAAAATATTTAAATAATTATCTCCCAAAAAATATATTCATTTAAAATACCAAATACTAAATTTTTATAAGAAAAACTCATAATTGAAAATTTATTTGAATTTTATTATATCCTAGATTTTTACCAATACTAATAATGAGTGTAAAAAAAACAGCTTTAGTTGTTGTAGTAAGTTAATAATATATAAAAGAAAAAAATAAAATTAAGATATCATATATATGCAAAAAATGCTTCATTTAAATTATATTTAATTTCTCTATTAAAATAATTTGTTTTTTTTGGCATTTATTAAATGATTTTTTATTATAAAATATTCAAAAATGTTCTTATATAAAAAATCTTTTTTATTTATAAATAAATCTTCTATATATACATTTAGTTCTAATTTTATATATATTTTCATTTGAAGGCTTCAGGATCAGAAGATGTAGAATACATTACGGTGGTCGATATTCTAAGAAGAGCTAGTAAATAAAATAGAAATATGTCTATGTATACATTTTTGTATTTATATAAGTATTTAATATTTTTTTCATTGTTTATATAAATAATATAAAATTTTTTTTTTTTTTGAAACATTAAAAAAATGTGAAAAAATAGTTTCACAATAAAAATGAAATACCAAAAAAAAAAAAATTAAAATTTTTTTTAAAAAATAGTTATATGATGAAAAATAAAATATATATAGTAATACAAAGATATTTTTGTAAATTTTAATATATTTTTTTTTTTTTTGTAAGATATGGATGTAACGACAGCATCTGTAGAAGAGACAGAAAAAGTTTGTCTTCAATCAAAAAATATCGTTATGGCAGATGTAACCATTGCAGAAATATCAAACCTTACTTTTGATGTAATTGTAATTCCAGGAGGTATGAAAGGATCTAATGCTATAGCGAATTGTGAACCATTTATTAAAATGTTAAAGGAACAAAAAAATAGTAATAGATTATATGCAGCTATATGCGCAGCACCTCAAACTGTTTTAAATAGACATTCTTTAATTGATGATGTTGAGGCAGTTGCTTATCCATCACTTGATAAGGATTTCAAATATGTTGGTAATGGGAGAGTATGTGTTTCTAAAAATTGTATTACATCTGTAGGACCTGGATCAGCTACTGAATTTGCTCTTAAAATAGTAGAAGTTTTATTAGGTAGAGATGTTGCACAAAAACTTGCAAAAGATTTTATTTTGCATCCATCTATTATTTTTTAATTTTTTAATATAATTTTATTCATCTTTATATATATATATATAATACACCATATAAATATTCTATAGAAAAAAAAAAAAAAATTCTTTTTCTCTTTTATCTTACGCAAAAACTATTAAACAATTATACAAGTTCATTTTTTTAAATACAAAGATTTTCAATGAAGTAATTGTTTTAATATAAACTTTTATATAAGAATATGATCATAAAAAAAAAAAAAAAAAAAAATATTAAATATATAGTACATTATTTATATAATTTAAGCTTCTTAAAAATTAAAAAAAAAAAAAAAAAAAAAAAAAAAAAAAAAAAAAAAAAAATTTATATGTTAAAAATAAATTAAATTTTATAATTAAAAATTTATATATAATGATGTATAAAGATAAATAATAATTTTTTAAATATAAGGAAATATACAGTATCTTTTGCATAACTTACAAAGTTTTTTCAGTTAAATTAGTATTTTAATATGATATAGTATTTTTTGATTTGTTGGGTAAAGTAAAAATATTAATTTTTTAGAAAGTTAAAGGATTTTTTATAGTACAATTATAAAGGAAAAGGAAAATAGAAAAAATTAAAAAAAGATAATAATTGTAAATATTTTTAGTAACACAAATGAATTTGACAAATAATAATAAAAATGATATTATAAATGACAAATATGTAAATTTTAAAATTTTTAAAAAAGGAGAAGATTTAAATACCCATGAAAAAACATTTATGAAAGTCAATACATATTTAAATGAGGGAATTATACCTAAATGTATTGGAATGGGAATAGGAGGTGGAATTGTGGGTATTTTTATTGGTGCTTTTTTTTTTAGCATGCAACCTAATAATATAGACTATAATTTAAGTTATAAAGAGCAATTAAAGGAACAATTTTCTATGTTTAAACAATCTATTAAAAATAGCTGTCGTAATTTTGCTAAAATTGGATTTTTATTTTCTTTTTATGAGAACTCTTTACAAAAAATTAGAGCAACAAAGGATTTAACAAATACATTATATTCAGGTTGCTTAACAGGTGCTACTATATCTTATAAAAAAGGACTACCCTCAATGGTTAGTGGATGTGCTAGCTTTGCTGCTTTTTCAGCTGTTATTGAAAAATTACAAAGATCAAACAAATTTTAATTTTATTTTTTTTTCATTCTAAATTAAAAAATTTTTTTTTTTATATTATAATTCTACTTTATAATATAACACTAAACATTATTATTTGATTACATATGTGTAAAATTTTTTATATATTTAAAAATTTAAAAATATAAGAATTATTATGAGAAAATTTATAATTAATATGATATTCAAACACATTTTACGAAAATAAATTTTAAGGAATAAATATATTAAAAAAGCATGTAAAATTATTAAAAATAGTTTTCATAAAAGTAAACACGTTAGTTTATTTTAAACAATTTTCATTTCAATCAAATATATAATTACGAAAAAAAAAAAAAAAAAAAAAAATGTTACTATAATAATTAAAGTGGAAATTTTTTAAATGTTCCAAAAGACAAATGAGAAAGGAAATTTAAAAGTACAATAACTTAGTTGTAGATATGTTTTTTAAAAAAGTACATGTATTATAAGAATCTAACAAAGAGGGAAAAGCATATTAAAAGAAAATCTCATAAATAGTATAAAAACTAGCAAAAAGAAAGAAAAAGCCTAAAAAAAAAATATATTGTAAATATTTTTATTAAGATATTTTTTTTTTTTTTTTTTTTTTTTTTTTTTTAACCTGAAAGCATTTGTATATAAAATTCATTTATATTACATTTCCCAAAAAAATTAATTAAAATGGCTAATCCAATACAAAATGCATATGCAAACAAACTAGCAAAAATAACAATTGAAAAGGAATATGTGCTACTTAACATAAAAGATGCTATTTGACTTTTATCACCAAATTCACTTAAAACAGTTAAAATAAATGTCTATAAAAAAAAAAAAAAAAAAAAAAAAAAAAAAATGTTATACATATATATTTATATACATATGTTAATATTGATATTTATTAACTTTAAAGAATATAGGATATAAGGTAAATAGTTTATGTTTAAAATTTAATTTTTTTATCTCCTCTTCAGCTTCTTCACAACCTGATTTTTATAGAAATATATATTTTTTTTTTATGTTATTATATTTATATTATTTTTAATACTATGAAACAATTTTAACATTTAGGGAAATTATTAATCTTTTTTTATTTAATTATCGAAAAAAAACAAACAATTTTAATTTTATATGCAATAGAAATATAATGTGATAATTTAAAATTTTATATATATTATTATTCATTTTCATACTTGATTTTTTTTTTTCTTTGAATAGATTAAAAAATATTTGTAAACTAAATAGGAAAAATAAAACTGATGAAACAACTTGAAATGTAAATTTCGAAAAATATTTAGATAAATGGTTTCCCATTAGACATATTATAACTGTCATACTAATAAGTCCTATGTAACTACCAAGGAATACTTGCACCCATGATTTTGTAGTAAAACCCAATAATATAACTATAAAAAAGGTCTTCATAAATTTAAAATTTTAAATTCATAATTATATATTGAAAATATAAGTGAACATATGCATAATTAAAAAAGATAGAGTGTAATAAAAATATAACTTTTAATAATGTATAAAAAAAAAAAATTGACAATTTTAATATATTAAAAAATGAAGTTTCAAATAAGAAAATTCTAAAAATGCTTAGGTAATTAAAAAAAGAAAACAATTCTACTATAAAAAAGTTCTAACTTTGTCGAATATTTCAGATGCTGTTACGGAAAAAAAAATTAACGCGAGCTCGGAAACATATGACTTCATACTTAAAAATGAATATAGACAAAAATATTATTTTAAATGTAAAATATTGACAAAAAAAAAAAAAAAAATATATTTATAAATAAAGTATTTTATTACAAAAATAATATATAAATATAATGTGAGTGTAAACAAAAATTATATCATTCTGTTATATTAACATGTTCTTTTTTTTTTATTATTTTTCTTATTATTTTTCTTATTAATAAATATGTCTTCAAAATTAAAAATGTATAAAAAAAAAAAAAAATTGAAATCTTTTCTAATAAGGAAAACACATCAATTGGTAAAATAAAAAAAAATGTTAATTTTAAATAACTCTCTATTCTTCATAAAAATTTAATTTGTTTGAGATTATCTCTGATTATTCATGAAGCAATATTTTATTATCTTAACCATTTTATTATTATTCCTTATATTAATAAATGATAATCTAAATAAAAACTATTTAATTGAAAAATATCAAATTATATTATTTCTGTTTTTCAGTATTGTTTCCAATAAAGAAATTCAAAATTTTAAAATAATTACATCATTTATTTCCATACATGTAAGAGAAATTTAAGTGTCACATAATTAATTACAGTTTTTCAGTATACTTTCTTTTATGTATTATTCATATTTCATGTATTATCTTTTTTTTTTTTTATAAATGAAATAAACTTTTTTAAAGTGTTAAAAAAAAAAAAAAAAAAATGTAGTTATGAAAAATAATTCTTATTGTGAATCAAAAAAGGTGAATGCAAAGAGAAATATAAAAAAAAAAAAAATAAATAAATAGTTAATTATTCAAGAAATTTAAAAAAAAAAAAATCTTTAAAAGTATTTACTTTAATAGATAAAAAAAAAATTAATGTTTATCAATAAAATAATGTATAAATTAATATTAAAGGTGATACAATTTATTTTTCATTTTAAATAAAGATAAATGATAAAAATATATATATATATTTAAAATTTTCAAAATTAAAAATTTTACTTTTTTTTTAACTTTTACACTAATAATTTACATACACACAATAAGGTAAAACAAAAATAGGTAAATTTATAATTAAAGAATGTATATATTTTTTATTTAAAAATATTTTTTTGATGAGTGTAAATAAATGTTTGTAAAAAATATATTATCAAAACATTTTACATTAATTTATAATTTTGATAATATATAACAAGAAATGTAAAATTTTAAATATATTTGTAGAAAGTTCCAGTATTTCAAATAATATTTCTTTAATAACTTAGTTTATTATAAAATATGACAATTTTTTTGAACAAATAGAATAAAAATAATATTGAATATTAGTAAAGCTAATAAAAAAAAATTATACTTTAAAAAAAAAAAAATTTAAGAATTTCAAGATGTGTTTGTTTTCATTTGGATAAAAAAAAAAAAAAAATGCTCATCAGTTATATGCACTTTGTTTTTAATAAAAATTAAAAAAAACATTCACGTTGTCATTTTACAAAATATTAAATTTATAAAAATATATATTATTATTGACAAAAAAAAAAAAAAAAATAAAGTATTTAAAAAATTTTGTTTTTTTTTTTTTATTTATTTTCAGTAATGTTTTTTGAAGAATTTAAAATTTATATTTTATTTTAATCTTTTTCTTATAAAATTTTATTTTTATAAGATAAATAAAAACATTTTTTAATGATTAAAATAGTGTTATTGAGAACTTAGATATTTTTTACATAATATTCAAGTTATATAAATATATTTTTTTTTGTTAATAATTTAGGAAGATTGAAAAGTAATTAAAAAAAAAAGGATTGTTAAAAATGAAAAAATTATAGTTAAAATGAATGAACGAGTAAATGAATATGATGAACTTTATGATGACATATATGATTATGATGTTAATGAGGTTCTGAATGTAAAGGAAAAAATTATAAATTATGACTTAAATGATAACATAACTGAGAAGAATTTAACTTCTGAATATAAATTAGTAGAAGATAAATTTGAATTTTCAAATGAAAAACAAACTAATTGTGAACAACAAAAAGATGATGAAAAAAATACATCGATTGAATTAAACAATATGAATTCATGTAAACAGAATATAGAAAATGAGTATGATGAATATTTTCATGGTACTAGAAATATTAAGAAAGAAGAAGAAAATGATATTGAGAATTTTGAAAAAAAAGATAATAAAAATCATTTAAATTATAATATTAATAAATTCAACACTATATCAATAAATTACAAGAAAAATGAAACTTCTCATGAAATATTAAGTGATGAGACGAAAATAAAAGAATATAAAACAAATTATTGTGGTGAAAAAATAAAGAGCATAAATGAAGAGATTAATAGTAAAAATGACATAGATGAAAAAATTAGTAATGAAGAAGTTGATGTATTTGATAATATAATTAAAAAAAATCTAATAAATGATAAAGAAAAAAATGAATTTCATGAAAATAAATCAACTATTTTTTTTAGTTATGGAAATGATGAACATGAAAATAAAGAGAACAAACAAAATAATGATATAATAAATAAAAATAATATAAATGAAAATTATGATAAGGTTAGTGAAATAAAGGAAGATGCTATTTTAAAAGAAAATGAATTTAAATATGAAAAAAATGAAAACAGTAAAACTGAAGAAAATGAATTTAAATATGAAAAAAATGAAAACATTAAATCTGAAGAAAATGAAAACATTAAATCTGAAGAAAATGAAAACATTAAATCTGAAGAAAATGAATTTAAATATGAAAAAAATGAAAATAGTAAGTCAAAAGAGGATCTACTTAATCTTAAAAGCAATAATGAATCTAGTAAATCAAAAGAAAATAATCTGAAATGTGAAGAAGATGAGATCAAAAGAGAAAATCAAAACAAAAATGCATATTCAGAAAATGAAAATAGAAGCACATTTGAGTGCAATATTTGTTTTGATGATGTAAGAGATCCAGTAGTAACAAAATGTGGTCATTTATTTTGTTGGTTATGCTTATGCTCATGGATAAAAAAAAACAATGATTGTCCTGTATGTAAAGCAGAGGTATCGAGAGAAAATGTTATTCCTTTATATGGTAGAGGGAATAGTAGTAATCAACATAAATATGCAAATGTAGATGAACCTAGACCAACTCCTAAAAGAAAAGAAGGTGTGAGAAGAAATAACAATTACACAAACAATTTAGGGTTAAGAGCTTCATTTGGAGTATGGATGAATCCCTTTTCTTTTGGTTTGTCTTATACAAATATGTCAGAGGAGCCATATTTTAATGATAATAGAAATGAAAACAGAAGAGTGCAAACAGAAACATTTCATGCAGAAGCTGCATCTTCTTTTTTCTTTTTTTTAGGATTTTTCCTTTCATTATATATTTTATTTTATTCTTCTTAACTTTTGTTTATTTGTAAAAAGAATTTTTTAATTTGATAATACTTACGTATATAATTTTTTTTTTTTTTTTTATTGAAAAACTTTATTTAAATTAATTCTAAGCACGTATAAAAAAAAAAAGAAATTTTATTGTATTCTTTTATTTTGTAAAAATTTTTTTTTTTTTTTTTTTTTTTTGGCTTAGATACTTTAATTTTTTGTATTTTTTTTTTTTATTTTTATATTTATTCTTTTTTGAATAGAAGAGAAATTTCCAATTTTTCTTTTTTTAATTATTAAACATTATTATTTCATACATATTCAAGTGTATGCATGTTAAGACATTTTTTATTTTTACATATTTGATTTTTAATTTTAGTCTGTTATGTAACTATTATTTTTAATTATTTTTTCTTTTATAAAAATTATTATTTATTGTTGATTTATCCAATTTAATGTGAAATAAATATTATATGTATAAACATTCTTTTTTTTTTTTTTTTTCACGGATGTAAATTTTTCTAGAATATAATTAGTTTTTTTTTTTTTTAATTTTTTACAATTAAAATAACTACTTTAATATATAAAATATATATATATATATATATATATATATATATATATATATATATATATATATTTTTTATCACAAATTTTATTAATGAATATATTTAAAATTATGCATATATTTGATGAAAACTTACAAAAAAAGTGACTTTAATTTATGTGTATGCTTTTATTTTAATTTTTATTGAAACTCAATTTTTAAGATATTTTGTGTAAAAAAAGAAGCTATTATTATATAAAAAAAAACAAATAACATTATTTTCATTAACTTAATTATTATACTCCATTATTAACTCAATGGAAGTTCGTAATTTATAAACTAATTTTATAAATGTGAAAAATTTAAATTATGTCTAAAAATATATATTAGTTTTAATTTTTATTTTAATTTTAAAAAAAAAATTTAGGAATTAATTGATGAGATTGAATTAACTTCCCTCTTTAATAAGTTATCTGTAAAAAGAAAATTTCTCACTCTAATATGTTTTTAAGAAATATTAATAATTATAAATGCTTAAAAATTATCATCATTAAAGTTATATTATCATAATGTTAATGTTATTTACATTATAAATATATTTTTTATAATTAATTACCACTATATTTTTTTTTAATAACATGAAAAATGACATTTAGGATGGATCTAAAAATATAAACTCTGAAAATGCATTAGAAATAATTTATAAATTGGTTAAAAATTTGAAAAATATTAAATAGTAAAATATATTTCTAATAATAAAATTATTTAAAAAAAAAAATATTTGTTCAATAGTAAGAATAATTTAAGAAAAAAAAATATTTTCATTATTAGGGTTATGTTCCATCAAAAGAAGATATTGAAGAGTTTGTTTATGTTACAAATGGTATGATAAGCTTTTTCATTATTTTTATTATAAAATATAAATGTTACATTATTATTATTACTAATAATTGATTTAATTTTTTTTTTTTTTATATTTAGGTAGTTGCACTCTGTCAAACATAAAAAAGTTTTGCAATAAGTTAAGGTCATCAAAATATTCTACTGAAAACTTAATAGATTTATTTTATTTTTATGATACAAAGGTAAATATTTAACTTTATTATTATAATTAACATTTTTATTTGAAACCTTTTTTAAAACATTTTAATATCATCATAAAATTTTTATTGTACTATTAAAATTAAGTCTATTTATAGTTCTTAAATTATAAAGTTATTCTTTAATTTATTTATTAATATATTTTACCTTATATATAATTAATTCTTTAAAGAAAACAGGAAAAATTTCAAAAAAAATGTTTAAAATATTATTTACAACAGTTGGATCAAAATTATCAAATAAAGAAATAGATATAATAACTAGGTATATAAACTTGAAAAATATATATATATATATATATATATTTATTATAAAATGCAAAAACATTAAAAAAATTATATTTCTTTTTAATAATAACAGTGAATTATGTAATGATGAGGAGTTTATAGATTACAAGGAATTTTTAGACAAGTAATTTGATAACTAAAAATAATAAATATTTTGCATAATTATAGGAATTAAAATGTTTTTTTTTATAGGTTACTAAATCAATAATTGTATTTAATATACTGTTTGTTCTCCCTGTTACTTTTTTAAAATTTTCTATTAATATAGATCTATTTAAAATAAGAAGTATAACAAGTAATATACTTGGATTTATACCTTTTTATACATAAATAAAATAATAATTTTAATTATTCGTTTTTAAAATATATTATATATAACCTTGTTAGGTTCTTTAATTAAATAAATAAATAACAAGATAAATGAATATATAAAAATATGTGTTTTTAAAAGAAATAGCTTCTTTCATAATCTTTTTTTTCACTTTTTTTTTAAAATGAGTTATGCGAAAAAAAGAATAATTTATAAAAAGAATGCTTATTAATAATTCATTGTAATATAAATAATTTCTGTTTTAAGATATCGATAAAAACTCTAAATAAATTTTATAAAGTTATTTTAATTTTTATATTAAAACAACAAAAAAAACTTATATATAGAAAACAAAGATATATTTATTAAGAAACTATTATAAGTTTTTTAGAAGATTTATGTATTATACTTTTTAGAAAAAATAAATATTTATATTAGAAAAATTTTTGCATTCATAGGTGTGGTGTGGTTAATGTAGTATTTTAAAAATCATGAATATGTAATTTTTGCTTGTTCTTTCGAAATGCACAATATTTTACATCTATATTGTTTTAGTTATAAAATTATATTTTTGATACCATCTACTAATACGTCTTATTAATGTATTTTTTATTTAATTTTTTTTTTTTTTTTTTTTTGAATACTTATTAACATATGATAAAGAAAAAAAAAAATAAAAGTAAATTACTGTTTCAGATAGTTAACATTGAGTTGATAAATGCGTTTATTCTTTTATATTTATATATAGATAATTTTTTTTTGTTATTTTTAAACAACACAAAAAATTTATATTTTTTTATTTTAAAATTATATTTTAATTAAAAACTATTAATATTAATACTATTATTAAATATATATATATATATATATAATTTAAATTTAAAAAAAAAAAAAAAAAAAAAAAATACTCGAACAATAGCATAAACAGATATATATATATATATAAAAGCAAAAACTTTAATATTAACACATGCTAGATATAAATCTATATTTTATTCTTTCTTTTATATAATTTTTATAAGGTTATTTTTAATTCATTTGTTTTTCAATTTTAAAATAATACATAAAAAAAAAATATATTTATATAAAAAAATGATAATATATTTGAATATTAATGGACATTTTCACTTTCTATTGAATAAGACATAATTTTTTTCTTTTTTCTTTTTTTATTTAAACGAAATATACTTAATAAACTTTGGTTAATACTCTGATAAGACTCATAAAACTTATTTTTTTTGTTAATTTTATTTTTTTTAGATAAAAAGTTTTTATTTTGTGATCTATATAATTTAAGAAATTTTTTTAATACTTTTTTACAAGTCCTATGTGATAAAACCCTCTCACATGCAACGTTATAAGATTTGTCACCATTAATATCTCTGACTGATGCATCTGCACCTCTTTTCATTAATATATCAGCAATATTATATAATCCATAAAATATAGAGTAAATTAAAGATGTTTCTCCATGTATATTAGTAAGATTGTAATTAATATTTTTACTTTCATTTAATATTAATAAGGCTAAATTTTCATTTCTTGTTCTTATACAAATCATTAATGGACATTCACCATTAATATTATCTTTACAATTAACATCTATATTATGATTTAAAAGTAATTGTACTACTTTTTCTTGATTTTCTAAACATGCAATATGTAAAGCATTTTGGTGAAATTTATTTGTTAAATTTATATTTACATCGTTTTCTAAAAGAAATTTTAAAACTTCTATATTTCCTTCTTCTGCAGCTACGTGAATTGGAGAAAGAACATTGTTAAAATCTAATTGATTTATAATTTCTTTTTTTAAAGAATATAAATATTTTAATATATTTAATCTTTCTAATTTTGCTGCTTGAATAAATGGTAAAGACCATAAATTATGTCCTTTTTGTAATAGCTGTGGATATTTTTTTAAAAGTAGCTGAACTGTTGTCAAATCATTTTTAAATATAGCACAAGATAATACCTCTGTTAATATATGTCTATCGCATAATTTTTCTCCAGCTCCTGCATCAATAAAATGATTAACCCATGCTTTATTTAAATTATAGGCTAATAATATAGGGGTAAATTTATTATGATAGCACCAATTAGGATCTGCTTTATTTTCCAATAATAATTGAATAATTTCACTAATGTTGTTTTCACATGCCAAATATAAGGGAGATTTATAATCTCTTACAAATGGGCATATGATATTTAAATTTTCTCCATTTTTTACTAAAGAATTAACTATAGAAAAATTCTTTTTTTTTATTGCAATATTTAATGGTATATAACCATTTTCTAAATCGAAAGGAAAAGTAACATAATAACTATTGCACGTATTTCCATATGGACTTATACATATTGTTTTACAACTTTCATTTTTTTTTAATCCATCCAAATTAGATGGATCAATATCATATGAATTATTTTTTTCATACGAGCTTTCTTGCATATATTCATTACTTACAATATTTCTTTCATTTGTATTTCTCTTTAATTCTTCAATACTTTCATTTTCGGTATAAATTAAACTTTTTTCTTTAATGTTCAGTTCATTTACATCTTTCCCTATACAAGGTGTATCTTCTTTATTATTTTCTTTGCTATTTTCTTGACTATCTTTATTGAATAGTTTATTGTTATTGTCAATAGTTATTCCTTTATCATTACCCAAGGTAATAGTGTTTTCACTAAAAGAATATTGTATTATATTATTTTTTTTTCTTCTCTTTCTTTTTTCTTCTAACAAAACTTCAACAAATTCTTTACATTCATTTTCACATGCAATATATAATGGAGACTTTCCTAAATAATCCCATATATCAATTTTTGCACCTCCTTTTAAAACTAAATAAAAAAGATATCTATTTTTTTTGCTAATAGCTAAGGATATTGGTAATGTCCATATATCAATGCCACCATTTTCATTTGTTTCAATAGTTAATGGTGTATTTGATAAAAGTTCGCTACCTTTGTCTCTTAATAAATAAACTAAATTATTATTTTTATATTTTTCACTTTTACTTAATTCATATAATTCTTCTTGTATTTTCTTACCTAATTTAACACATATTTTTATGTTTTCATTTTTTAAAGCTACACTATATCCTTTTACATATATATCTAAACCTATACTCTCTAAGAAGCATTTACTACCCCAAGAGCCTAAAATATCTAAATTTGGTTGCACAAAATGAGATTGGATATATGGATCATCTACACTAATTAAATTTTTATAACCATTTGAAAATGGACAGTCATCACAATTACATTTAAAATTTATTTCTTCTGTCATATATATGCATCCTTTCCCATTACATCTACATTTATTCATATTTTTTTCTTCATCTTCATCTTCGTCTTCGTCTTCATCTTCTTCCTCTTCATCAAACGTATTAACATTATTATGTAAAATGTTCATACAAAAAATATTTTCCGCTGTTAAAATTTTTGTCTTCTTATTATTATTTCTACTACCTTTCTTATTTTCACTAAAATATTTTTTTTCATATTTTTTTTTCTTATTCTTTTTTTTTTCATTGTTTTCATTAATATGCATTTTTTTCATTTTTATTTTTTCATTAATAGGATCTTCATTATTTTGTTCTACAGAAAGAATATCAATTTTATCTTTTTTTTTTTCTTCTTCCATTTTTTTATAAACCTTGTTTTTTTCATCATAATTATCAATAATAGTTTGTTCGATTTTTTTTTTTACTTTTTCATTAATACCACAAGTATTATTTTTATTAATACAATTTTTTTTCTCAACGTCTCTAAAATTGTCATCTCTAATTAATCCATTATTCTTTCTTTCTTTTTTCGTATTTTTATTAGTCACATTTTTAGGACTAGTTTTCGTATCATTATTACTTGTTATTAAATTTGTGTTTTTTCTTTCATTCATTATAAAATTATCATTTGTTTTGTTTACTGTTGCGTAATCACTTGATAAAAATTCATCAAATATATCTTTTTTTTCATGTAATTCTTGATTATGGATATTTTCTTCAATACTTGTTTTATTTATATATTTTTCATTTTCATTTTTTACATTATTGTTTAATGAATTATTTATATCATCTTTCTTATTTTGATAATAATTTTTATTATAATCTCTAAAATTAAAACTGTTTTGTATTTTGGAAGAATAGCCAAAATGTTTTATAGTGCTATGGAAAAAATTATTAAATAAATTAAAATTATTATTTGTTTCCGATTGGCTAATGCTACATTCAGTTTCGCTATTAAGTAATGATTTCAATTTTTTTTTATTTTTATAATCAATTATATTGGATTTATCTAGATTATTATCACCACAATTTTGCAAACCTATCAAATTATATTTATTATTTACGTTAATAATTTTTTTACTATTTTCTTCAATTTTATCATCATACATTACCACATCATTATTATCATCGGACTTATTTTTTCTTATATTTTCAGATGCACCATTTTCTTCATTAGATGTGGTAACATTATTATCAAAATTTTTCATTGTTTCCAAGGTTTTACGCAAATTTTTTAACTTATGATAAATTATATGATTTTGATTATTTGCTCTATTAATAATAAAATTAGAAACAATAAAAATTGGCTCTAACCATGCATTTGAAAAAGAGCATATAAAGTTAGTAAAAACTGGCCAGTTACTTTTTTTTAGCATAACTGTTAAAGGAGCACAAGTTAAATATTTATTTCTTACACATTTTATGCTTAATGTTTTTAAAGATGGTAATCTTGTTTGAGCTAAAACTTCCAATGTTTTATCTGTCAAATGATGGCAATAATCAAAATAAATTTCTTGTAAATTATAAATAAATAAATGTTTTGTATTTAAGGAATCAAACTTGTAAATTTGATTTAAAACATTAGCTACTGTTATATCTTTTATTAATGTGCATAATGTAAAATCTAAGCAAAGTCTTCTTCTTACTGATCTATGAATATGTTTATATATTCTAGGTAAAACAAATTCATATATTATTTTAGGATTATAACCTAAGTAACTATTAAATATTAATCTATTATTTCCAACTTTATATTTTCTTTTATAAAAAAATTTACATGTTTGACTTAGGTTAATTATAGTATGCACATCTAAAAAAAGCTCAATATGTTTAATGTATCTTTTCCATCTTTCATTTTTTTTATTTATATGTATGTTATCACTTGCTAATATATCATTTAAATTATTTTTTTTTAATGTTGTATCAATATTATGACATATATCTGAATTTAATTTAAATAATTCATTAATACTTATACTATTTGTTTTTTCTTTTATATTATTATTTACTACATCACATGTGTTTTCTCTCTTTAATTTACTTGTATTACTATCTTTTTCAGAATCATTATTAATATTATTTTTTTCTACAATATCTACATTGTTTTTCTCATTTATATTTGCACTATTTATTTCAATAATATTTGTTATGTTCTTTTCAATAATATCTGTATTATGCTTTTCAGTTAAATTTACATTGCCTTTTTCACTAATATTTGTACTATTTTTACCAACAGGCAATGTATTTTCGCACCTTTTGTTTTTCTCTTTATCATTTTCATTTGATTCATTAATATCATGAGATATCGATTTTATATTATTATTAAAAATTAAACTTAATTTATTTAAAATATACTTATTTATGACATCATCATTTAATTCTTTTTCATAAGAAACAAAATAATTATCAAATACAAAACTTTTCATCTTTCTCTAAATGATTTATTCTTTTCTTTAAGATATTAATATATTTGTCTATATATATATATATATATATATATAACACTTTTTTTTGAAATGATTTTACTATTTCATATTCAATATATTTTTATATATAATTTTTACTGACATATCTTTTTATTTATAAAAATTATTTCAGTATAATCCCATTTATACTCCTTATTGTTTTGAACTTCAGATAAGGGCTCCCAAATAGGTAAAATAAAAAATAATAAAAGTCAAAAATTAAGAAAAAAAGATAGTTATTCTTGTTTATTTCATTATTAAATGTTTGCATTCATTTGCATATCTAACTTTTTAAATTAATAGAGACAAAAAAATAAATAAAATAAAATAATTTTAATGATGTGTAAATATATGATTACTTTATAAATGAGTTGCAATACCATTCATACTTAAAGTATTATGTTTGTAAAATTTATACTAAAATTTTTTATATCTCAAAAAAAAAAAAGAGAAAAAAAAAAAAAATAAGTAAATAAAATTAAACTATCTATCTACGTAAATGACAACATGATTATGAAAACGTGACTGTTTATATGTGTATATAAATATATATATATAATTTATTTTAATTTTATATTCTTATGAAAAAACTACAATCTCCTGTAAAAAAAAAAAAAAAAAA